CTTATGGATTATGGGCCATCAGCGGTGTGTCCGTAGATGGCTGATGAGACCGATGTTAGCACGGAATGTTCTGCCACATACTGAACAGAGAAATGTGGACACTATTGCTTCAGCATTTGCAGCTCTGGCTTTATGGAGTGCTCGCTTCTCTTGTGCCAAGATTGTCCTTCTGTGTTCATATGTCTGGCAACCCTGGTAACCAGGGTTCGCCATGTCGGTCGATCATGCGCCAAAAATTCCCAAGAGATGGTGTCGATATCCAGGGACTTGAGAGATGCTTTCAGCGTGTCTTTGTATCGCTTCTTTTGTCCCCTGTGCGATCGCTTTCCTTGAGACAGCTCACCATAGAAGAGCTGTTTAGGGATGCGATGGTCTGGCATCCTTACAACATGGCCTGCCCAGTGCATCTGGGCTTTCATCAACAGAGTATAAACTGATGATAGGCCTGCTCTGGAGAGGACATCTGTATCTGGTATCTTATCCTGCCACCGGATCCTCAGAATTCTGCGAAGGCAAATCATGTGGAAGTAATTCAGTTGCCTGACGTGCCTCCTGTACACTGTCCAGGTCTCACTAGCCTACATTACAATGGCCCTGAAAAAAATGACTTGCACTTATGGCTGCTGCAGCATCCCCAGGGTCACATGATCAAAATTTAGGCGCTTGGCAACAGGCATGTATTTACGATGGTTGCAATGTTCCAGGGTCATGTGATCACACTTTGAGACCTCAGTTGGCGTTGGACAAGCAAACCCAATGGGGGAATTAATGACCACAAGATTTGTTTCACAGCTGCAGTGATTCACTTAACACAGAAAAAAAGGTTGTAAAATCAGTTGTGACTCACTCAACAAGCCCCTAGCTTAGCAACAGAAATTCTCGTCTCAAGTATGGTCTTAAGTTGAGGACAACCTGTACAGAGAAGACAAGGTGGCTGGATTTCTGGACTCAAGCATGACTTTACAAAAACTCAAAAGGGCCAGTTCCTGACACCCAGTCTTGGACAAATGAAATCCATCAAGTTGTGAACAATTGGAACGGTCTGAACAGAGGTGAATCCAACAGGGTGCTTGATATACAACACTATACAGTAGCTTCTACGGTCTCTAATAAGATGTTATGCCTGAATTTTGAGCTGTACACTCAAAATATATAAGCACAGGAGTGTAAGAACACCAAGACTGCCCCTTCCTCCCCAATTCATCTTTTTTGGTGAGATACAGGCAGAAATCCAACAGGTGACTCTTTTTCCCTCCCTCATGGCCTGAAGGGAAGGGAAAACCATTACAGGTAGTCCTTGACTTACAGCCATTTGTTTAGTGACCATTTGAAGTTACAGTGGCATTGAAACAAGCAACTTATTACTGCTTTTCATACTTAAGGCCAGTGATGGCGAACCTTTTAGAGACCAAGTGCCCAAACTGCAACCCAAAACCCACTTATGCATCATCGGGTGCCGGGTGGGTGTGGCCCATTGGGTGGGTGTGGCTGCGGTGGTAACAGCAGACTGGGTGGGACTAAAAAGTTCAATCAATCAATTCCAACTTTGCAAGATCTTTTTTTTTCAGTGAGAAGTTGAAATTGACTGATTGATAGAACCTTTTTTTTTTTTTGCACACGGTGGCGGAGGCCTAAAGCGAAAAGGTTTTATAAAACCCAGCTGAAAGCCTAGGACTGAGGCAACAGCGTGCATGCCCACAGAGAGGGCTCTGAGTGCTGCCTCTGGCACGCGTGCCATAGGTTAGCCACCACTGCTTAAGGCCATCCCCATGATCAACATTTGGATGCTTGGCAACTGGTTCATATTTACGATGGTTGCAGCGTCCTGGGGGTCATGTGATCCTCTTTTGCGACCCTCTGACAAGCCAAGTCAATGGGCAAGGGAGATTCACTTAACAGCCGTGTTACTAACTTAACAACTGCGGCGATCACTTAACTACTGTGGCAAAAGAAAGCCGTAAAATGGGTCAAAACTCACTCAATGTCTTGCTTAGCAATGGAAATTTTGGGCCCCACTGTGGTCATAGGTCAAGGACTCCCCGTATCTGCCTCTCCTGGCAGCTACTGGCAAAAATGAGCTGGAGGCATCGACATAAGGGAGTGCCCCAACCCTCCGGACGTCTATCAAAGCGACCCCCCCCTTTCCCCACTTCCCTTCTCAGAGGCGTCAGGCCAGCCACGCGCTCTCTGCTCCCACCCACCTGGCCAGAAGCCAAGGGCAGGGCGAGGAGAACGTGGTACGAGCAGGATGAACTAAATTTGTATTAAAAAGAAAAAAAAAGAGCAAGCGGGGGCAGTCGGAAGAAATCCTGAGCGCCAGGGAGACCGATCGGCTGCACCTCTACCCACCCCTGCGCTGCCAACAGGTAACTAAATCCGCCCGGCTGGGTGGGCGGGAAGCGGGGAAAGTTGCGAGTGGGTCGTTCTGAGACCGATCGAAGTGTGTGTATGTGTGTACACACTTTCGGAGGGGCTTTAGGAGGGAGGGGTGCGAGATCTCATCCGCTTAGACTTGGCAAAGGGGGTCTCGTGAAAGGCGGGAAAGCAACGAAGGACAGCAGGCGATTGCTGTACTTTCTGGAAAAGGATCGGGAGAAGGGAGAGAAACAGCGCCGTCCTATCAGACGGCCGACCTACTCGCTCCCCTCCCCGCCATCTATTCTATTCCCCTAGATTCCCCCCCCCTCCTTTCTCCAGCTTCATTAACATTCGCGCCTTGCTTTCCGGACGCGGGTCGTTGCCTTCGCTGAAGTTTTGTTTTGTTTTTTAATTGTTTGGCACCGTATTTTTGCTAGCCTGTTAACAGCAGTCTTTAAAAAAAAAAAAAAAAAAAGCCCGAAGATACCTTTTGCTTCCATCTCTCCATCAACTTTTCATTTAAAATTATTGGGGGGGGGGGGGAAGGGGGAGANCTAGCCTGTTAACAGCAGTCTTAAAAAAAAGAAGAAGAGTCCGAAGATACCTTTTGCTTCCATCCCTCCATCAACTTTTCATTTAAAATTATTGGGGGGGGGGAGGGGGAGGAACTGGAATAGCCATTTCCTGAATCCCCAAATTTTAGCCAATCGTGATTCTTAACAGATTTTCAAAACGCTAATTCTTGGGAGGCAGAGGGATGTTGGAGAACTAGCAGGAGGCTGGAGTGCCAGAAAGTTTGGCATAAAATAAACTTTTAGGGCTTTCAGTTCTGCCCTTATTCCACACCCACTGTACTAGGGAAAAATCTGGGTGTGAGAAGTTGTAAGGAAGGGGGGTGGATGCGTAGGATCCTCCGGGTGTATGTCTGTGGCATTCCTCACTTCAGTCCCTGCCGTTTTTTTGGAGCTGCTGCTAAAACAGGGGTAATCAACCTTGGCTCTTTTATGACTCGTGGACTTCAACTCCCAGCTGGCTCAGGAATTCTGGGAGTTGAAGTCCACGAGTCATAAAAGAGCCAAGGTTGACTACCCCTGTGCTAAAAGTTGTCATTCAGCAACATCTGGAAAACTACAGATTCCCCACATCTGGATTATATTATTCTTAAAATGGGCCTATTGTATCACAATCAAATGCAAAATTTAATACACTTGGTGTACCCTGTTAAGTAACTTATATACAGACAGCTTTTGAAAAGGGCCTTGCAGTGAAAATGCTGGATTTCATGCAGATCGCCTTATAACTTTAAGATTTAAATACAGTTAGTCCTCAAGTTAAAACCCCAACTGAGACCAGAATTTTGATTGCTAAGCAAGGTGGTTGTTAAGTGTGTCACGCCCAATTTTACCTTTTTTGCCATGATTGTGAAGTGAAGGCAGTTAAGTGGCTGTTAAGGGAGTCTGCATTTCCCCATTAATTTTGCTTGTCAGAAGCCAGCTGGGAAGATCCCAATAGTGATCACGTGACTCTGGGCTGCAGCAATCATTGTAAATACATGCTGGTTGCCAAGCGCCCAAAATTTTGATCACATGATCATAGGGATACCGTGAAGGTTGTAAGTGCAAAGAATGGTTGCAGATCACTTTTTTGACTGCCCTTGTAACTTCTAACTGTCACTAAATGAATGGTTGTAAGTCAAGGACTGCCTGTAGGATTTTAACTTAAATCTGGAGCCCAACGCGCACATACTCAGAAAAAAATCTCACTGGCTATATATTTTGCTGAATAAATAACGTACAGAATATTGTGTACTGGAAACTGTATAGTTCATTCTATGCAAACTTACGTCTCTTCAAATACAACAGTGCTTGCTTTTAAGCTTATGCTGCACTATTCACGGTTTCCCCTTAGTTTTTTCAGGGCAGGGAGTGCTGCTAAGTTTGCAGAACTTATTTTTGTGCATGTTACCTTATAATTATGCAGTGTTAAGCATCTTTGCAGAGTAACCAAACTTTCCAAGAACTGGGGGCCTTTTGATTTAGCAGTCAGTTAACTCTTTCGCAGCCTTCCTAGCCTAGCTATCCTCTGATCACCTCCTGGACTGGAGAAGGTTGTTTACTGCCTGTGTCAGGAAACTCCAATTACTTGGTGGGGAATTACTCAAGGAAGGGAACGCCTTTTTCTTCTGAAAAACGTCACTTGGCCGTTATGTCCATGTGAAACAGAAAGCAGAAGAGAATTTTAACAATCGAAGTTTAGTCCATGGAGAATTTCTGTTTAGATTACAGATGAAGGAAATGCCCCTTCAAACATCATTGTGCCGCATTAATGAAGAAGCAGATCTGAATGAAAAGGCCATCACATGGTGGATAATGAGATCCGCTAAACTGCAGCCCTACTCTGAGTTGGCATATCTGTGATTATCCTCTTGTTTACACTCTCATATTGTCCAATTGACCTCCCCCTCCCAGATATATTGGGACTACAGCTCCCAGAATTCTCAGCTATAGAAGACTTAGCTCTCTCAGCCCACCAGACTGGGTCTCTTATTTTATTCTGAAACAGGGATACTTAACCCGGAGTCCATAGAGTTGAGTGTCCATGCATAGATTTCACACGTCTGTGTCTGTGTGGACTTTGATGGGATAACATTTACAACTAATTTCACTATTTTATTTTATACATTTAAAAACATGTTTCTGAGAAGCGGCTTGTAGGTTTCACCTGGCTCCAAAAAGGGCCCAAGCCACAAAAGATTAAGAACTGTTCAAAACATGAAATGAAATGTTTTTTCAAAGCTCAGGAATCTGAAAGCCATTAGTAAGACTTGACCCCAAAATGTTTTCTTGCTAGAGGAGGACGACAATGGTGCTATTGTTGTCTCCCACTGCTCAGATGAGATTTTACAAGATTTTTTTTAAAAGTAATAATAATATATGCCTCCCAACTCAAAATCATATGATTAAAGCTCAGAGAATTGGTCATCTATGCTAGATGTTACTTCAGGAATGAGTAACATCCCAGCTATTGTCAAGTCAAAAATTCCAATGCCTCATATTATTGACCAAGCTATGGGTGGGGTTGAGCTACAATTTTCAACAGCCCTGGCCAGCACATTCAGTGATATGAGCTGAAAGACACCTTGGACTCTTCAAAACAATTGAATTAATGGATTAACCATCTTCCGTTCATAAGTTGAAGGTGATGAATTATAAATAGTCCTTGACTTACAACTATTCATTTAGTGACCAAAATTAAATGAAATGAAAAAAGTGACTTATGACCGTTTTTCACACAGATGACCATTGCAACATCCCCATGGTCACATGATCAAAATTTGGATGCTTGGCAACTGGTTCATATTTATGATGGCTGCAGTGTCCGGGGTGTGTGTGTCATATGATCACCTTTTATGACCTTCTGACAAGCAAAATCAATGTGGAAGCCAGATTCATTTAGCAACCATTTTACTAACAACAACTGCATTGATTCACTTAGTAACCATGGCAAGAAAGGTCGTAAAATGGAGCAAAACTCACTTCACAACTGTCTCACTTAGCAACAGAAATTTTGGGCTCAGTTGTGGCCGTACGTCGAGGACTACTGTATTAAATCTGTTTTAAATGCCAGCTCAATGTGTACATTATTTTTAATGTTCATCTTAAATTGCAAAGTAGGAATGCAATCCATATATTATGGCCAGAATATGGTCATACAAGTAAACTTACTAGAGAATCAGATTTGCTGTTAATGGAATACCTGGTAATAAATTGGACAGTGTGGAAGAAAAACACAAATCTGAATGATGTGCCTCATCTGCGAAGCCATATAGTTAGGGGAACTTTGGCATTAAAACAAACTGAAAAAAAATAGCGCCTAGCAATAAGAATCAGATGAGAAAAATGTTCGCATTTATTGCTTAATTATAAACTCAGTTCCAGATTTCCTTTCTCTGCTCTGTACTGCCTACTACAATGTTTTTCAGCTTTAGCAATTTTAAGAGTTGTGGGTTCTCCATCACTGGAGGCTTCCAAGAAAAGTTTGCACAACTCTTTGTTTGAGATATACAAAATCTCCTGCCATGGGCAGGTCCCTTCCAGCCTTGTGAGTCTATTATTCTGAGACTTGTGGACTTCCGCTCTCTGAATTCTGAGAGCAGAAATCCACACGTCTTAAAGTTGCCATGGTTGAGGAACATTGGATTCCCTCTTTGCCATTTGGAGGAAATTAAACCGTTTGTGAGTGTGTGTGTGCACGTGTGCAGTCTTGATGGGGCTGCAAAGGGCGGCAACATATCTAGGCAATTGCTAACCCTTTCTACCTCCCTCTTCTTGCCCACAGCTCACATAACTTTTAAACATCTGGATCACATTAAGCCAGGCTTACAGCCACAGGAATTTAAACTAGCTGCAGGAGCCCAGATTCTGCTTTCTCTGACGCGGGGCAGGAGGAAGGAGGAAATACGTTGCATTTAAGGAAGGGCTTCAAAATCTGAGCATCCTGAGGCAATTTGGAATAAACTGGCTAAGGTCTGGGTAACGGGAGAAAATTTTTCATTTTTTTTCCTTTGGATTTGAGATATGTGAATCCTTGGGAAGTGACATGGGGACGGCTGGATAATAGAGAGAAAGCTTCTGAAAAGCAGAATCTGGAGAGAGCAGAATTTATCAGTTTGAGGAGACACAGTGGGATTAATGCTGCTTGGGAAGACAGTAGTTCCTAGTTGCTTTAACCAGCCACAAGGAAGGAGTAAGCTTAATCTATGTTTTTCTTCTCTCCATTCAGCTTCCAGAATGAGTTTCCTTCTCTTTGGGGTCACAGCCCTCCACGTTCTTATCCTCATCTTACTCTTTGTAGCCACCTTGGACAAGGTAAGAAAGAACTGAAATATTCCAGTGTTTAATCTGCAGGTTCAATGTTTCGCTTGAGAGCTGCTTAGCTATTCTACATTCCCTACCCTTCTGTGCCTAGTACTGTTATGCTACAATTCCCAGAACTGTCCAGCCATCTGGACTTCACAAGGGGTGCTTCATGATTTAGTAAGCTTGACTCTAGAGACAATTTCCTCTGACTCTTTGATGAGGTACCAGGTTTTAATCAAGGATAGTAAATAATTTTTTCTCAGCATTTCACTTGAAAGAAAAAAAATTAACTATCAGGCATGAAGAATCAGGACCACATGTTAAGTTGCAATTAAGCTGATTTATTGCTCATGCCTACCTACAAGAATCTAGTCAACTAATGATCAGCACTAAATTGGTGCTAGATAAGAGTCAACAGAGTTCAGTGGGGGTGGGGCTGGATTTGGAACACTTGTGAGAACGTAAGGACTCCAGGATGATTGCTTCCTTGACTCCACCTTCCCCCAGGTTCTGCCTCTTCTCCTACATAAACCTCCTTATATATTTTAGTATGTGCTCATCACCTGTTTATTCAGGAGATAAAATGTTTGCTGCGAGGATGAAGGTTTTACACATACAGTAATGTGGGTTGGAATTAAGGAAAAAATGCTGAACAACTTACTTTTACCCATCATCACTATCTGTTGCTGAAAAAATAGATAAAAACGAAGGACATAGTGAGGTAGTTGGCTTGATTTCACACTTTTTGCATTATAAGCTTGGTCACCATCGAACCACCACAGTTATGTGGTAGCTGGCCTGGTGTCAAGAGAAGATGGAAAACACTACTTCAGTCTTCAGTTCAGAAAAATAAGAAATTGATCTGCTTTGGTTGATGGCTAAGGATGAGAGGAAGGCTATGTCATCTGATTGTTTTCTTCAAGATTGGTTAGCCAAGGACTTTGAGCTAAAGCTAAAGGACAGTTAAAGGATATTCAGATGTGTCCCAGATGATCTTGGCTTCTACACATTTATTCATCTCTCTATTAAGAATAATAAGATTTATTCACAAGTTAAATATCTGTGAGGAATTCAAATAAACTGATCAGAAGAGAATCCCTTGAAAAAGCCAGCCACATTTTTTTATTCAAGATAATTGCTCCTCAGATGTCAAGAGCAGAGCCTAAGAGAAGGCCATAGACACTTCAAAGAATCCCCAATGACATTACATTTCTGCCTGAAATTCTTCTTGCTCCTTGCATTTCTAATTGGTGTTTGTTTCTCCCCAAAAGAAGAATATATTTACACATCTGTAAACACGCTTATTTGCACGTTTTATGTTTTGGGAGAGCCCTCTTAAACGGTAAAAAAAATGCATTTGGGAAACAAATGCCAACTAACAACTCTGACTGGGAATATGATACAGCCTGAAAAACCTTTATGAGTTGAATTTTTTTAGCATTATTTTTGAAGTATATTTCTTTTTTCCCCCCTCCTTTAAATTTAAAACAGATTTCTTTAAATAAAAGATTGTTCTATCCTGCTTTATACTGATCCCAAAGAAAATGTCTCTATCCTCATATTTTGTTAGTCTGACAACTAGTATGAGGAAGATTATTGATATTAACCCCCTCCGATTTAAGATGGCTTTTTTGGGTGTGTGTACAGTATATCTGTTTTGAATGGTGAATTGTCAGTGGCTGCATTTTGAACCTTTGCTGGGGAAAGACAGATAACTCTCTTGAGCAGACAAATCTGTGTCTCTTTCCTTGCTTCAGGAATCTCTGACAAATCCTTCAGGACTAGTAGTTTGTTGATTTAAAAAATCACAAAAGCATGCCTGTTAACACAGGAAAAGGCTGGGTTACAACCATGAATCCTGTTTCCATTTTGAACTATTTGCATATATGACTTGTTTAACTCAATAATATTTTTATCTTGAATGAGGAATCTGTTCTTTTCCAACAAAACAAAATAAGCCAAAATTACCCACACAGCTGAATTCCTCCAGACAGTGTTTTTCAACTTTGGCAACTTGAAGATGGGTGAACTTCAACTCCCAGAATTCCCCAGCCACCAATGCTGGCTGGGGAATTCTGGGAGTTGAAGTCCACCCATCTTAAAATTACAAGGTTGAGAAACCCTGCCTTAAAATATTAGTTTGTGTTTGTGACATTTGCTGAATACATTACATTGTGTCCCCTGTTATATCACTTGAGGTGAAAGTAATTTGTTTTCTCCTTTTGTTTTCTCCCCCTGAATCTGCTCCCCAAACTTGGCTTTTTAGTAGTACCGTAGATTAGGGTTGCCACTAATTACACCCTCAGGAGACCTAAATACAGGTAGTCCTCGCCTTACGACCACAATTGAGCCCAAAGTTTCCATGGCTAAGCAAGACAGTTGTTAAGTGAGTTTTGTCCCATTTTATGACCTTTCTTGCAACAGTTTTTAAGTGAATCATTGCAGTTGTTAAGTTAGTAATACAATCGTTGAGTGATTATGGCTTCTCCATTGACTTTGCTTGTCAGAAGATCACAAAAGGGGATCACACGACCCCCGGACACTACAACTGTCATAAACACTTGCCAGCTGCCAAGTGTTCAAAGTTTGATCATGTGGACCATGGGAATACTGTAACAGTCATAAGTGTGAAAAAAGATCGTAAGTCCCTTTTTTCAGTACTGTAGTACTTCGAATGATCACTAAACAAATGTTTGTAAGTCGAGGACTGCCTGTAATTGTTTTCCCTTCCCTCCTGGCCATGGGAAAAAAGAAGAAGAGTCACCTGTTGGATTTCTGCCTGTGTCTCACCAAAAAGATGACCGGAGAAGAAGGTGTTCTCACACTCTTGTGCTCCTATTGTACAAGGGATGCTGTGTGGTCATAAGTCAGTTTTTTCAATGCCATTGTAACTTCGAACAGTCACTAAAGGAATAGTTGTAAGTCAAGGATTACCTGTATAGGACATCTTTAAAAAAAATCAGAAGTTCCACTGTCCACTAAGAGAAGGAAATGAAAGAACAGAGAAAGGGGTGGGGGATAGAATGGCCCCACACCAGGAAAGAAGAATTGAGAAGAGAGACATTCAGAGAAGTTATAGGGGGAGAGAGAGAGATTCAGGAATGTGTGGCAGCCTCCAGGGCTTGGCTCTGTCCGCTACCAGACTGCACATAAAACCAATTAGAGAAAAAAAACTTGAAGAGAAAAAGCTGTGGAAAAATATTTTGGAAAGTCAGAATGTTTTCAAATGCTTCTTGTTCCCTTGAGTAAATTTTGCCTCTCTGATTCCACAGGATGGGGAAACAAATTTTACAATTACAGTACAGGTACTCCTCAATTAGGACCATCATGAAGCTTGCCCATCATGGTTGTAAGTCGTGACCGTCATAAAATGGGTCTTTCACATGACCGACTCCATTTTACAACCTTTTTTGCAGTGGTCATTAAGCAAATCACCATGGTCGTTAAGTGAACCGATGATTTTCTATAAAACCAGAAGTGCTGATTTTGGGCAAAACTGTTGTAAAAGGCAGTCATGTGACCATGGAAAATGCAAATGTCCGTAAATGCAGCTGTGTTGCTGAGTGCCCAAGGTTTGGTCATATAGTTGTGAGGAGGCGACCATCAGAATTTTGAATCCAGATCATAAGTAGCCTCAAGGTAGGTCTATCTGACCTTCGGTTAGTCGCTAAGAGACCAGTCATAAGTTCAAGGACTGCCTATATAATGTGCAGTTCAATTTCAAGGATTCATTCATTTATTCATTCATTCATAATAATAATAATAATAAAGTTGGAAGGGACCTTGGAGGCCATCTAGTCCAACCCCCTGCTCAGGGAGGAAACCCTACACCATTTCAGACAAATGGCTGTCCAGTCTCTTCTTAAAAACTTCCAGTGTTGGAGCATTTACCACTTCTGGAGGCAGGTTGTTCCACTGATTAATTGTTCCAATTGTCAGGAAGTTTCTCCTTAGTTCTAGGTTGCTTCTCTCTGGTTAGTTTCCACCTATTGCTTCTCGTCCTGCCTTCGGTTACTTTGGAGAATAGCTTGACTCCCTCTTCTTTGTGGCAACCCCTGAGATATCGGAACACTGCTATCATGTCCCCCCTCGTCTTTCTCTTCATTAAACTAGACATACCCAATTCCAGCAACCGTTCCTTATATGTTTTAGCCTCCAGTCCCCTAATCATCTTTGTTGCTCTTCTCTGTACTCTTTCTAGAGTCTCAACATCTTTTTTACATCGTGGTGACCAAAACTGGATGCAGTATTCCAAGTGTGGCCTTACCCAAGGCATTGTAAAGTGGTATTAAATACTTCATGTGATCTTGATTCTGTCCCTCTGTTAATGCAGCCCAGCACTGTATTGGCCTTTTTGGCAGCTGCAGCACACTGCTGGCTCATATTTAAGTGATTGTCCACTAGGACTCCAAGATCCCTCTCACAGTTACTACTATTGAGCAAGGTACCCCCTGTACTATACCTGTACATTTGGTTTTTCTTGCCTAAATGTAGAACCTTACTTTTTTCACCCTTGAATTTCATTTTGTTAGATAGCGCCCAGTGTTCAAGTCTGTCCGGATCCTCCTGTATCCTAAGCCTGTCTTCTGGAGTGTTGGCTATTCCTGCCAGCTTGGTGTCGTTTGCAAATTTGATGAGTTCCCCATCTATCCCCTCGTCCATATTGTTGATGAAGATGTTGAAGAACACTGGGCCCAGAACAGAGCCCCGGGGCACCCATCTACACACTTCCCTCCATGTAGATGTGGTTCCATTGAGGACCACACGCTGAGTATGGCCGGTCAGCCAGCTATGGATCCATCTGGTGGTGATGCTGTCTAACCTGCATTTTTCTATCTTGTCAAGTAGTAGGTTGTGATCTACTTTATCAAATGCCTTACTGAAGTCCAAGTAAATTATATCTGCAGCATCCCATTCTGCCTATCTATCTATAGAAGCAACCGGGAGTTAAGGAAAAATTTCCCAACAGTGAGAACAATAAACCAATAAACCAGGCTTGCCTTCAGAAGTTGTGGGTGCCCCATCAGTGGAGGTATTTAAGAAGAGGACAACCATTTGTCTGCTTGAGTAGGGGGTTGGACTAGAAGACCTCCAAGGTCCCTTCCAGCTTCTATTCTATTCTATTCTATTCTATTCTATTCTATTCTATTCTATTCTCTACATCCATCTATCCATCCATCCATCTTGCCAAGCTGCAGTTATTACAACTGTTGTTGGCTATTGTTTTCAAAGTAGCACACTCAACCCTCTGCTCAATAAAGACTCATCTACTGTAAAATTACTGGTGTTTCAAAGGGAATGGTGGAAACAAGATTTTATTTGGACTCCGCAACTAGTTACGGGTTGGAGCCAGTTTATTAACCTTCATTCACATATTTGGAAAGGTGACCCTCTTCGGCATCATCTTTTCTGTCCTAACTCCTTGTCTTTGCTTTTTTTTTTTTTTTATTCTAGTCATGGTGGGTTCTGCCTGATAGAGAAACAGTGAACATCTGGTATGAATGTCTGATAGAAAACCAGCGCCAGAACTGGACATGTCACCCAGTGTCTGATAGTAGTGAGTATATACTGTGTGTTTTGTGGAAATGACCCAGGACCATCTATGTCAAGCGCTAGGCTAGGGAAACCAGGAGATTCAGGCAGTTCAAATGAGTATAAAGATTTATTACAAGCTTAAGCCCTCTGCAAGAATCTGAGCTACTAATGGTTAAAGGAAATGAGCGGGAATTAAGAAGGTATTCAAGACGGACTGGATTTAGATCTCTTGTGGGTGCGCAAGGACTCGTGACTTACGACGCGTTTGAACCCACCCTCGGGCTCAGCCTGGTCAACTTCTACAATCTTCAGGAAAAGGTCAAACTTGGCAAGAGGGTGGAAAGAAGGTTGCATGCTTGCCCCCATCCTGCTTCAAGATATGGATGCATTTATGGAGCCTTCCCCAAACCGGGTGCTCCTTAAAATGTTCAGCACCCAGAATTTTCCAGTAAATACGACTGAAACATTTTAGCCATTTGGGCTGCTGGAAAATTTACTGGAGAAGGCAGATTGGTAAGATCTGCTCTTAATGGTCTTTTCTCTTCAATGGTTTCTTTCCCCAGAATGGCTTCATGGAGTCCAGGCATTCATGGTTTTAAGCCTTCTCTTCTCCAGCTTGGCTTTCATTATTTTCATGTGGCAGCTCTACACGATGAAGCGGGGAAGCCTGTTTTATGCCACAGGAATTTTCCAGATATTGACTGGTAAGGGTCCCATTTGAATGTTGCAGAATCATAGAGCAAGAGAGAGGTGGTAGCATCTACGAGGAAGGAAGATTAGGACTGAGTTGTAGGGGAGCGTAGGTTTCCATATGTAAGACATAAACAGCAAGGGGTATTGCATAGATCAGTGTTTCTCAACCATAACAACTTGAAGGTGTATGGACTTCAACTCCCAGAATTCTCCAGCATGTTAAGGTCTAACTTAATTGGAACGATTTGCAAAGCGTTTAGCTACTTTGTTGGAACTCTGGATGAATCTGGTTGTGAATCTGGTTATGTTCCATTTTGCCCAAATTATCTTTTTAATATAAAGACCTTGCAAGCCCCAGTTAAGAAGTGGAGCTCAGGAGAAGGAAAACTTGGCTCTTCAAATAGCCTTCAGAGGGGTGACTTCAAGATGGGTGGACTTCAACTCCCAGAATTCCCAAGCCAGAATTGCTATCTGAGGAATTCTGGGAGTTGAAGTCCATCTGTCTTAAAGTCACCAAGGTTCAGAAACACTGATCCCAGCTATTCCAATCAGAATTACCAATAAGAAGTTGTAGTTCAATAACATCCCAAACATCGTAAGTTCCTCACCACTCTACTCATCTCTAGTGATCCTGGGATGCCTATTGCAGATCTGAATAGGCGGCTGGTGGGATTTTGCACTATATAGGAATTGTCTATATGGATGGGAAGGATGTAATTATCCTTTAGGTTGCTTGCTGAAGATGGGGAAGCAAGATGGAGCTATAACTTGATCCTAATTCACCTTTTTTGATTCCTTCCCAGCTGTCTCGGTGTTCACAGCTGCCTTGATCTACACTATCCATGTGGACACGTTCCAGCGTGGCCGAATGCCTGGCGGCTCTTACGGTCACTGTTTCATACTAGCCTGGCTGTCTTTTCCCTTGGCCCTCATCAGTGGGATTGTCTACATTCACCTTCGGAAAAAAGAGTGACTGACTATAGGGAAGCCTCTCCGTTTATCTTGGAAGGAGACTTGTTATCCTTTCAATTTAGCTATGCATTCATTCTTTGCAGTTTTCGAAAGCACTCGTGGCACAAAATTCTATGCAATGGGTAACTTGATCCGTGGGAGTTCTTGCACTGTAAGTGCCTGATTTTCATTTTGCATACGGGTAGTCCTCGACTTATGACCACAATTGAACCCAACATATCCGTTGCTCAGCAAGACAGCTTTGAAGTGAACGGGCCCCCATTTTATGACCTTTTTGCTACAATTGCTAAGCGAATCACTGCAGTTATTAAACGAACCATGTGGTCCTTAAGGGAATCCAGATTCCCCATTGACCTTGTTTGCCAGAAGCCAGATGGGAAAGATACAAATGATGATCAGATGACCCTGGGGTAGTGCAACTGTCATAAATACATGCTAATTGCGAAGCACCCAAATTTTGATCAGGTGACCATGGGGCCATTAAGTGTGAAAAGCGGTCATAAGTCACTTTTTTCCCACTGCTGTTGTAACTTCAAACGATCAGTAAACAAATGGTTGTAAGTCAAGGACTACCTGTATTTTTATATACCTCCCATGATATGGGAAGTTAAAGGTGTGCCATCATACACTGGGCATTGCTTTAGTCTCTGAGAGGTTACCATGAAATACATGAATATTTTGCTGGCAAAATGATATGACATGCCATCCTATCAGCCTATTCTCCTAATATCTGGAGAAAGGTTTGCTTCTTTTTTGTAATTATGTACATGTAGATTATAGTCCCCTTTAACTTTTGCAAATGAGGGAACAATATATTCCTCCTGTAGTGTTTTTTTTAAATAATAATAATAATAATAATCTCCCTTTTTGATAACCTGCAGTATGGCAGTCAACCCCTCCAACTTTTTTTATAAAATCATTTTTTATTTGAAATACATATTTTAATGGAAAAACATGGGAGATGCATTGGTAGTGTAGATATAAAATATATTTCTTTTTTAAGTTTTTGCAAATGGAAGGCAAACTGAAATACAATGTAAAAGGATTCTCGTGTTTGTTTTTTAAACTCATTTTAAAATGGAGGTTAAATAAGAGTCTGTTTTATAACCTGTTGGTTTTATTGCAGATACTTCTTTCTTTTCACATTTGCCTCTTGGGAGATAAAATACTGTGTGGATAAAATTCCTGTTAAATTGCAGTTGGAAAAATCACTGAACTTTTTAAAGTCTGACGAATAAGCCACGGGAGTCTCTGCTTATTGCTTGTTCAGAAAAGTCTCAAATAATCTTTTAAAAAGTGTCCTCTTATTATTGTATATGTAGGAGCATTTGTGAGGGAGGTCAAAAAAGTCAAGATGGCAGCCATGACTGTAATTGATCCTCTTTTTGTATACAGCACTTATACAAAATTAGTGAGCTTCAATTATGCACTTGCTATTGTACAGCCATTTCTACTTTAAAAAAAAACAAAAACCTCCATTCCCACAGATTAGCTTCATCCAATCTTTGGAATGCTTCCCTTTCAGAATATTCTACTTAGGAAAAAGTCAATAGGGGAAATAATTACTTTTAAATAGATTTGTGGGATAAATAAAGGATTTGTTCAATGGGATATTTTTTATTTTGTATCTTAAGATCTTTGTTACTATTTCTTAAAATAGTACAGGTAGCCCTCATTTAGCAACCAAAACTGGGACTGGCAACTCAGTAATTAAGCAAAACAGTCACTAAATGAAAACACAACTGCTTGTGATCTTACTTCAGCTTCCCTTTGCTTTACAAATCTGTAAAGGTCATAAACATAGAGAATTGACTGCGAAGTTACTTTTTCATCACCATAACAACTGCGAATGGACACTAAATGAGGTGGTCGCTAAACAAGGACTACCTTTAACTTTCACTAACTTTATTCAGTGAGTTACAACCAATTGTAACAATCTGTTCAGTGGATATACATTGGCAACAGTATTTGTTCCCACTCACATTAAAATACATCAGATTTTTGTTTTTTTCTAGCTTTTTCCAAATGTTTCTCCCTGTATTCTCAACCTCTTGGCTGAGAATTACAGGGACTGTAGGCTGCATATCCAAAAATCTGCAGTTTAAGGAATGTTCACAAACTTATAAGGAATGTTCACATCTTTCTTCAACAGGTTTGCTCTTCGTTCAACTTGATTGCTAGTGCCAAAATTGATGGTTCCTACCAATGTCCCTTTTTGTCTTCTTCCAATGGCTTTTATATTTTATACTTATTTTAGAAATTAAAAAGCAATGAAAAGAGTTGACAGACTGTATCTTCCTTCTTTGGTATGGCAAATGCTTTTTACTCCCAACTCCAGAGCTGTGGTGGCGGCGCAGTGGTTAGGATGCAGTATTGCAGGCTGACTCTGCCGACTGCCAGGAGTTCGAGCCTGTCTGGCTCAAGGTTGATTCAGCCTTCCATCCTTCCACGGTCAGTAAAACAAGGACCCAGATTGTTGGGGGCAATAGACTGACTCTGTAATCCTCTTAGACAGGGCTGTAAAGCACTGTGAAGCGGTATATAAGTCTAAGTCCTATTGCTATTGCTATTCTCTTAGTTTTCACAAGGGAAGCTCATAGTTAGAAAGGAGACCATGAAAGATATGATTTGGGTAGCTCTTGTTTAGTAAACACGAAGCAATCATCAACTCCGTCGCTAAATGATGTGGTCACTAAGCTGAAGATCACGCAACTGCAATGGGCTTGCTTCTATTTGGTTGTTAAGTGAATGACAATGGGTGTAACGTAAGATGTCACATGACTGCAACTTCTGTGTCCTTCATTACTTTGCTTGTCAGAAGCCAGTTGTGAAGCATGTGAATAGCAGTCATGTGACTGCAGGATGTGGTGGCGACCATAAATGTACCCTGGTTGCAAAGGGCCCAAATGGGTGATTGTATGATTGGGATGCTCCGATGGTTGTGCAACAGAATTTGTGTCAGCTGCCTTTTTTTTTAAAAAAAAATTGTAGCTTTGACACTGCATGAGGCAGTCGGTAAGCGAGGATTACATGTAGCAAATTGCAACTTAAATATAATCCACACAGCTAGTATCGAGGTTAGCCACAATCCAAATTGCTGTTGTTCATTCACTACCTTGCAGTCTAATTGGGCAAACTACTTTTTATTTACAAGAGGTCCTCAACTTACAACAGTTCATTTAGAGACCCTTCGAAGTTACAACTGCCTTGAAAAAAAGTGACTTATCACTGTTTTCAACACTTAACGACAGTTGTGGCATCCTCATGGTCACATGATCAAAATTCAGATGTTTGGCAACTGGCATATATTTATGACAGTTGCGGTGTCCCGGGGTTGTGTGATCACTTTTTGTGACCTTCTAACAAGTAGTCAATAGGGAGTCAGATACACCTAACAACCGTATTACTAACAACTGCAGTGATTCACTTAACAACCGTGACAAAAGGTCATAAAATGGGGCAAAATTCATTTAACGACTGTCTCACTTAGCAACAGAAATTTAGGGCTTCATTGTAGTCGTAAGTCGAGGACCACCTGTGTCGTGGCATTTGAACATTAAACTGCTTACAAGCTTCACCACAACCGTATTCACAGATAACAACCAGCGGTGAAGCAGCTGGTTCTCGGCTCGTTTATTTTGCCTGTGTGGGGTATAAAATGGGGACGGGTTGCTTTTGGCCTGCCTGTTCAGTGTAACTACTGGACTGTCTGCCTCTCTGACAAAGTAACCTACTTCCATCCATATTAGGCAAAAGTGCAGCTTCAAGTCTATGGAGGGTGCTAATTTGCCATCTGGCAAAGCACAGATCTGTGCCTGGAAATGAATAAATATTTAATCTTGTTGAGATCTGAAGATTCTATCCACTGCCAAGCATAAATAGGAGCTGTCTTTTCGTAGGAACAGAGAGGAATAATAGAGCTCAGACTTACAAAAAAAAAATTGCACTAAAGAGGAGTTTCTAGACTGGAGGTTTCTGCAGAGGAGAAATGATTGCTGGCTATTGCAGACTATTAGCCCTTTGGAAAGCATCAGTGGTGGGATTCAAATATGTGAACAACCGGTTCTCTATGTGGATGCCATTTCCGGAAGTCCATTCTGGCCTGGGCAACAAAAAATTAGCTACCGGTTCTGCCAAAGTGGTGCGAACTGGCTGAATCAACCCCCCCCCCCACTGGAAAGCATGCTTGTAGCGTTCAGTGCAATTGCTGAAGTTTTTAAGCCACCGTTTTTTCAAACTTAGCAACTTTAAGATGTGTGGACCTCCAATCCCAGAATTCTCATGCTAGCTGGGGAATTCTGGGAGTTGAAGTCCACACCTTAAAAATTGCTGTGTTTGAAAAACATTGTTTGAAACAAGCAGGCAATAATACAATGCAATTATTGTTTATTCCGTAGAATTTTCCATCCCAATCTATTCAATGCAAAAATATGTTAACCATTATTAATAATTTGGGAAAGATGTTCAGATAAAAAAATCACCTCACCAACATAACCAAGTTGCCTCCATTTTATATCTACCATAAAGAAAGCTGGGATAGTGTATCTTATCACAAGATTTAAGTTGCAGCGGTTTTGATTTAGGGGTAGATCTGATAGCAGTTAATGCTTGCAGTTTCCCTCAAGTTGTACAATTTGACGTTATAATTTCTTGACAACAATATGGCTAGTTTTGCTACTACCACCTCAACTTTTTTCAACTAGCCAGTCTATAGCTCGGGAATCTACTTGTGGTCTCCCATCCAAGTGCTAACCAGGAATCTCCCTGTTTATTTTTTCACAAAGAGCAATATATTCATATACACATACTATATTTCCAAAGGGTTATTTTAGATTTTTCTCATTCTACTGGCTTGGGAGAGAATAATTCAATAAAAAAAGCTCAGGCGAAGATTGATGTGCAATAGTGGAGGAAATAATGAGAGCCAAGTAGACAGAAGACTAGAAATTTGAAAGATTCTGCGAGAAGTAAGAGTAGGAATTGACAAACTATTAAAAATAAATTGTGGTTTGGCATATTTGGGGTGTGTGTGTTCCCATGAATGTTGGAAGAAACCAATTTCACCTGGGGCATCAAAGCACAATGTAAGGTTTACACGTCTTAGGAGACCAGAAGCAGCTCATCTCAATCCGTCCCTTTATTACATCTACACAAGTTGATTAATCTCTCTCTCTCTTTTAAAAAAATAACATCTAATGAGCAAATGTTAAGCAGGGTGTGGAAACATTTTCAACATCGTTGTAACACAGGTAAGGACATATGTTAGATCCTACCTAGTGGCGATGGGGGTGGTTAGAACTAATTACTATTCCACTCTCATCGCGTCATCAGATAACTGCCCGGCCGCCCTCTTCAGGGTGACCCGCTCTCTCCTTCAATTGAGGGGAGGCGGGGACCCCCTGGAGGGGAGGGCCGAGGATTTTGCGCAGTATCTGTATGATAAAGTCGCTCGGATCCGGGAAGGCTTGGACTCCGACTGGTTGGCCCAGGGGGAGGAGACGGGACCAGGTCTTGAGACGGTTGTGTGGGAGGAGTT